CTTCGAATTGTCATGTTCCAAGGTTTTCAGGTGGACTTGAGTTTGAGATGTTACTGTTCAGCTGAGTACAGAGGGAAATCCACCATGATCTGAAGCCTCCATTCCACAGCTCTTCTAAAAGACCGGATAGCTACACATGTGTATGCACATACACACAGAGAGCAAGCATGTGTATGCATGTATGTTCATGTACATACATATAAGGACATGCCAACAGAGCAAGCTCATTAACGCATACACATGATTTATGTGTGTACATATGTCCACAGAAAGTAAGCATTTGACATACGTTCATGTCCATATACATGTGTGTGTGGTAACAGAGCTAGATCATGAGTATATGCACACACGTGTCCATATGCTCATGTATATGCACATATTCACATAAAAGTGAACATTCGTGACCGTATGCATCACATGTGAATAACCTGAGAGAGCTTATAAACACATGCACGTGTTCATGTGTCCATACCTATGTACATGTACACATGAGATACTCATGTGTACATCTGTGTAAATGCCAACAAACAGCAAGCTTGAGAGCACACACATGCTCGTGGATGCATGCATATTCATGGTTATGTTGAAATCATTCACATGGATAGCACTTTCTCTAGCTCTGTTTTTTATAGACCACCTTCTGAACCAGGGCCGGGATGGAGCACAGGGCCAAAATGGGGCTCTTTGAGGTCCCCTCTAGCACATGCTCTGTAGCTGGGAAGAATGCCAGCCTCCTCACAGGGAGGGGTGACCCATATCACTTGTGTGCTGTTCATTCTCTTCATGAATAACTGCCCACCACATCCTTGCAGCTTTAAGTAACCCCTGACCTCGGTAAGTACAGGGCAGATAGCACTTAGAGGTCCCTGCGATTACAGTTGTCACACACAATCCCCCAGCCTGAGGGAGGCAGGCAGCGCCCCATCTCCCACCCTTGCTGGCCCTCCTCCCTCCTGCCACAGCACCCTCCTGTCAGGTGAGGGAGGTGGTTCTCTCATAACATACAGAAATCCTCCCTGAGGTGAACTGGAAAAATCCATCCTGGTCTCTGGCTACCTCTGTGAGGGGAGAGAGAACCCTCAAAGAGCCTGAGGATTAAGTGGAATAACAGCTGCCACCCAGTCCCATGGTGCCTGGCAAAGGATGGCAGGTGTAACTGGCTCTGTCATCTTGGAAAGGAGTAAGTGACAGACCTAAGGCCACTGTGCAGTTGGTGGCGACACTCAGCCTCCTCAGGACATGATAGCCAGTGCCCATTTTCCCGGTGGCACCATCAGGAGTGAGAGTCTGCCTCCTAAGCCAGGGGCTGAGACTAGGTCCAATGTCAGCAGCAGCACTACTGTCATTAGTGAGGACCAGCACCAGACGCATGGGCTTTGAAGGATCTCAAGTGAGATGGAGATGCTGGACCCCAAACCATGCCCACTCAAGCAATCCCAAGCAGGTCAGCATTGAGATCCCACACTCACAGATTCATGATTAATTTAGAGGAGTTGCTGTTTCAACTCCCGAGGACATCTTGCTGTGCTTCTGTTGGTGGGGGTGGAAGGGTGGGGATGGCTCTTTATTTTGTTGATCTGGGAAACTCCTGCAGGCAGCAAGCAGGCGGGACATGGTGGAGACAACCTGGAGGAGTGAGTGAGGATGGCACGGGAAACCCAGCCCTCTCAGCCTGCCATGCAAACATCAGCCCACCTGGGTTTATGCCCTGTTACTTCCAGGTTCTTTTAAAATAATAACATCCTTTCTACACACCTGGACCAGAAACTAATCCTGTGATGAAATGACTGTTCCATTTAAGTCTGGACATGAGCTGAAATACACATACACGCAAAAACTCTGCCCCTGTGGAACGAGTCTGCCCGAGTGGGCACAGAGCTGTGCAGACAGCAGACAGCCTGGTTTATGAAAATAACTGACAGTCAGCCCTCGGATCCCAGCAGTTCTTCCCAAATGCCGACACGTCTAAAAATGACATACGTGTGTGCATCTCATCTGTGTTTACTGTGCATGTAACAAAAAGATATAACCCATTATCTATGCCTTTTGAAACTGTTCTCAAATCAATACGGCAGAGCTGCCTGACAATCCCAATCAGTGTTTATCATAGAAGAGCCTTGACATTCGTTCACACAGAGCAGGGAGGGGGAGGGAGGGCTACTAGCCAAGCAGGGAATTCAGGCCTTCGCAGATAGTTCCAAAGGCTCAATGTGAACATCTTGGTTTGGCTAGAGTCGTGGCCAATACGCCTCTCGGTTTGGCTAGCGTGGTGGCCAAGTGTGCCCCTCCCCCACGGGTTCCCAGGTGCGTTCTGCCCATGCCCAGCTGCCCAAACCAAGCTGGCTGCCCTTCAAGCGCGGCCTCATTATCCTGATGCAGCCTGTGTCACCCCCAGCAAATAAGCAGTACTGAGGTTTTTACTTGGTACTGGTGCAGCAAGACCATCTGCACGGATCCCTTGCCTTCTCAGTTGTGGGCTTCACTGCCTCCCACACTTTTTCTTTCCTCCTATGAAAGGCAAATCGAATGTTCTCTGTACAGACCTGCCTTTAGTGCGCTCTCTGTCCTCAGCCATCCCTCTCAACCCCTGAGCCACCTGCCCTGTGTAGAACAGGACAGATAACTGGCAAGAACAGGCTGACGCCTCAGATGGGTGAGAAGACAGTTAAGGCAGCACCAGAATGAGACTGGACACAAGCCACCAATGCCAGGCACTACATGGCCAGATCTGCCAAGAGGGCAATGTGGTGGCCCCTCGGAAGTATGTCCCCCTGAAATCAAGTATCTTTGTAGATATCGTGTGAAAGTCTAGGGACTGGATCTCACTTTGTGTGCCGTGACAGCATCCTTAGGAGACCCAGGGAAGGCCACATGGAAGAGGGGTGATACAATGGAAGCTGTGCCCGTGAGGCTCGGAACGTCTGCAGCTGTGACCGGCAGAAAAGGCAAGAAAGGCTCCAGAGGGAGGAGGCCTTGCCACACCGTGATTAGTGAGGGCTGGCCTCCAAAGCAGCAGATCAGTGTGAAAGGCACCAGGTTCACACTGTCACGGTAACCCCAGGATTCTCAAGGCAGGGGCAAGAATCCCGGAGACCTCACTTTTCCCTCCTAGGAGCCTTGACTACAATCTTGAGGTATCATTGGACCTCAGATGAGAAAGCACAAGACAATCCCGAATCTATCAAAGTTTGATCTTTTCTAATGTGTTCATTTATTTTCAGTATCACCTCAACAAAGTGGTTTTGGGGTGGCATTTTTATATCTATGAAGTATTTGGGAAAATCCTTGATTAAAGAGGGATACGACAGAGATTAGAAACAAGTAAAATTAGAAGTACAACTTCAAAGAACAAGGCCTAGATGGTGTCATCTATCACCTGTGCCTGACCTCACGCCTGCACAGGTCATTTCCTACTATGGCTGTCACACACTGCCACACACAGGACTCTGGCCATCCACAGCTCTGGAGGTTGGAAGTTTTATTTAAATGGGGGTGCCATTGGAGCTATACTTCTGGAGTCGTTAGAGGGAAATTCTCTCCTGTTTTTAGCTTCTAGAGGGTACATGCTAAGCTTCCTTAGCTTACGGCTGCTTCTTCAAACCCAGAAGCACGGCCTCTTTATCCATCCCATCGTTTAACTCAGCTGTTTAATCTCTCCCTCTGTACAGACCACTGTGGCTGCACTGGGCACCTCTGGAAACCTAAGCAGGTCCTTCCAGCTACAGCGTCTTCCCGTGTGCCAGGTAAGGCAGTCTTTTTATAGCCAAGAGAATGAGGACACGGGCATCTTAGGGTCCTTATGACACCAACACACAGCTGAACAAACTACTAGATATGATAATCCCCACTGTCATTAGGAAACCCACCGACAGGGGATGGGAACTACCATGACAGTACAGTTAGAGAAGCAAGCTGAGAATGAAGACACTGTTCCACAATGTTTTGAGACCTAGGCACTGTGATTGCACAGGCTAGCGGGCCTGCAGTCTGAGGTGAGCTAATGTTAGTGTCTTTACACTGGACCCTGGTGTGAGAACAGATGTAAAGAAGTGTGTGCAGACTCCTGAGGAGGCCATGTGGAAAGGAAAGGGAAGTTGGTCAGGACAAGGTTAGGAAGCACTTGGGAGGATGTATAGATTACAAACTGTCCAGACAAGGGTAGTGACCGCCATCCTGGGAATGCCAGCCCTGAGAGCTCCCACACCTCAGCTTGCAGAGGCCAGAAGTGGCCTCCCAACAGTAGGCAGATGACCACCTAGGAGAAGCTCTCAGACACACACGAAATAAAAAGCCCCTAGCTCACGTTTCCTGAACACATGTACCTGATTACATGATAGCCCTGGCCATCTCTTTGCCAACATGCATGTCCTTTGTGACCATAATCCTCCACCACACAAACCACTGTTGATAGAAACGTACATCACTGCCCTTTATCTCTCCCTACTACGAACATAACAAATACCTGTGTCCTCTGTGAGGTTATCAGGACTCCAACTCTCACAGCTGTGAGGAAATAGAACATAGCTTCTCAATATCTACTTTATGGTGCTTTGTTACCTATCCTTCCCCCTAAGCAGATCCAGCATTAGGAGGAAGTAAATTAGCCAGCAGGCTCCCAAGCCATCTTAATCGTGAAACCAGCCTCAAATGTTCTGCTGCTCTCCCAGTCCACAGATCCACTGAAATGAAGAAGCTGCAGCAGACTCTCCGAGGCCCATCCTCACACACACCAGGTGAGGAGACCCCCATGGTCCAGCCTCACACCAGGTGAGAAGCCCTGCCCTGCAGCAGCTTCCAACACTGAGGACTCTGTATTTTAGTAGATACACCTTTAAGAAAGGCTGTGGGAAAGGGCGTTCTCAGCTGCATTTAGCTTTTCTATCTGAAGAAAACATTGTTTAATGAATATTATAACACTTGAGGAAATTAATAGCTGACTGTTCTACGGAACAAGATATGCTGTTGTACATTTGAAGAAAGTTACAGAAGTTCATGAAATGTGCTGTGTAAATCTTTAGACTTTACTATGAAGCCCATGAAAACAATTATGTTCTTATGCACAACATCTGAAAATGTAAAATATAAAACCAAGTTTTCTCTTATGGATAGTATAACAGAACAGCATACATAAAAAGACAATGTCCAGTAGAATCCCATTTCACATTTCAGCGAGGCTGTCTTCCTGCCTGTTCCCCTGCAGAAAGAAGGGGTCACCAGGGGTCTGAGAGCTACAGGGACAGCTGGGACACAGCTCTGTTCCCTCAGCCCCAGAGTCCCACGAGGTCACACGATGGGAACCGGAGGCAGGGGCAAGGCCAGTTCTCGTGGCTGGAAGGCAGCAGTGGCAGGCACAGCTTCTCACTGCGTCAGTCCGGTTATTAAACGGATGTGGGGCTCATCACACTTAGGATGGTGGATGGTCTTCCCCCCGAATGCTCCGATACTTGGCCATGTCTTCTGGAAACACTTTAGAAAGTTCCTGAATCAGTAGGCTTTTAAATTTCTACAAACAAAAAATGGCTGTGTCAAAAAAAAAAAATCCAAATTATAGACAACACATCCCATCCAAGAAACCCAGAATCCCACTGAGCCACCCAAAGGGAAGGAGCCAGGACACTTCTTCCACAAGTTAACACCCAGAGTCAACTACGAGATGTCTGTAGTTAACCTGTTACAGGGACACCACCTCTCTGAAAGGGGACTGTATCTTTAAGACAATTCCTTGTTCTGGCTTAAGAAGAAAAAACCCAGCACCTCCAACCAGGTGCTCCCAGTACAGTGGAGAGGACTTCTGCAGGCAGCACACACTGGAATTGTAATACTCACTGAAGAATTACTCACCAGAATTACACAGGTCACGTGTGCAAACATCTCCTAAGCTTTCTCCAGCCCTGGAAACGTATTATCCACCTCTCCAGCCACCTATCCCTCACAGTTAACTATCTTAGTCTAGAGAAACTGTACAATGGCTGCACCCGAAGCCTCTACTCTCGGGGCCACAGGCCCAGTATCACAAAGACACACGCTACCCTACTGCAACAACTGAAAAGCTGTGTAACTGGTGCCCACTGGGGACATGCAGGCTGCAGAGTGTGCCCTGAGACGGTCACAGGTCTCAGGTGAGAGATGACACCAAGAGCTACATGTGCTCAGGGAAGATTAACCATGGGTACCCATCACTGGGCAGTGCACTCCAGCACAGCCCAAGGCAGTGAGTCTAAGATACGGCCAGTCACTGTCCAGAGGGGATTTCTGCTGGGTATCCAGGAATTTCTCAGCCCAAGCTGACAGATGATGCATGGACTTCGTGTTAACCTGGCCAACCCCACTTCTGCAGCACGTGATCTAACAGAGCCCCTTGCTCACTCCGAGCAGCAGGCTCTCTGTGCTGCCTGCATACAGCAGACACAGGCAGGCTGGCATCAGCAAGCAGTGAGCAGCACAGGCCGAGCGTGCAATGATGGAGTACAGGCCGAGTGGATGGTGGGTATAGAAAATACAGACACCCCAACCAGCACACCGAGGAAAGAAACTCTAAGGAAGGTCGGGCTGAGCACGCAGAGGAAGAAGCTGGCTGAGCTGAAGAAGGAGGCTCACTGTGCAAAAGGAACATGAATTCAAGGCCAAGGAGAATACAACCCTAAACAGGGCCTGGTGGCTAACAGGGAGCCCAGGAAACAGAAGGGTACACAGTGCGGTCACTGCAGCCACGCACAGTGCGCCCATCTGAAAACCAAACACCATCAATGACCTCAGTGAGCAAACTATAGTTCATGTCAAGACACAGCTCCCTAGAGCGGCTGAGTTCTCTGTGTAGTGTCACACTGTAAAGAACAGTGAGGAGTCCAGGGGTCAGACGCTGGAGATAGAACATAAACCATCCAGAATCCTCCAACTGCGACACCATTAGCACCGGAAAGTCCTCCAGTCAGGGTCTACACAGAATCACAACAGGCACACTGATGTCAGACGTTACCCAAGGGGAGGGAGTCAGACAGGAAACCACAGGGACATCGACAGATAAACTCAGCCTTTTTCACTGTCGGACTGTCAATGTGTTTCTTGTTTTCCACAGGACTCACTGACACTCAATGTAACTATTGCACATGCGCGAAATCCCCGTGTGGCAGAGCTCAGCACTGCAGACAGGGCGCTAAGCCTGTCGGCACGCTGGCTAGGAGCCCCTTTCCCGTACGCAGACACGCCTGCCTTCCTTCCTGTCTCACCTTCATCGTGTCAATCTTTCCCTTGACTTGCTCGTTCTTAGCTAGAGCCCTCTCCAGGCACTCTTTGGTGTAGAGCTGGGGATTCCGACCTTGATCAATGTATCTGGAAACAAGAACACCACAGTAAACACACAGCTGACTCACCTAACCTCAGCTCTCTGCAAACTAGGAGCAAAAAAAAATCCAGGAGATTCTCTTTCTACTTCTTTTAGCAGTTCATGAAATCAAGTAATGATCACTTATAAACCTCAGAAGTGTCTGTCACAAGCCACTCATTCACATCTGCTCAGCCCTTATGTTCAAATGCAATGCATGCAAAAAGAGGAATACACCACACATCCCTGATACTACCTTCTGGATTCTCAAACAGCGTGATAAAGCTCGTAATGTTAAATGCACTGCAGGAGCTCACATCTGTGACAGGCACAGCTGCGATGCAGCATCCACTTCAGGTCAGCCTGACTACTCAGGACATGCCGTGTGGTCACGTCAGAAGGGAGGAGCATCACAGCCATGTGCAGGACAGTGTCCACTCGATGGGAGAGGGTTTTCTCAGTACACTGCGATATCAGACACACTCTAGGGACCTAGTCACAGGGTGTTTCTCTCCATTAGTTTACAGTCAATCAGACTTTCTGATAGTTTACAGACTATCTCTTGACACTGTCAATACTTTTATATGCCATCATATCCTGATGTCATAAAACCTACTGCCCACAATATCCAGATTTTCCAGGACAGACTACGTGGATATTTCTGTATACTAGGTAAATCTGTATCACTCAGCTGTATTAATTCTTCATTACAGAGGAAGGCCACCACCACACCCAGACCATTTAAAAAAGAAAACAAATCCACAGAAGAAAATCAAACAAATCACTTCAAGTTAATACCCATTAAATTTGCCTTTATGACAAATAGCAAAAATAACAATTTGTAGGATTTCCATTTCATTTCAATATTTTTGTAATAATGTAATGAAAGCAGCATCTGGTTACATCTCAAGCAACACAAGAGCTTGAAAAACTTATCATTCGGGTGTGTTAAGTAAACAGGCGGCTCCTCAACACAAGGGGGCCTATGGTGTTTGAGGCTATAAAGTTGACTCTGACTGACCTCTGCAGACGCACAAAGTCAAACACTGGGCTGAAGTACTAAGAGTTTACGTCATCTTTGCTCTGGAAGTCCATGTGCTATCAAGTGCGCACTAGCAAGGTCATGAGAGAGAGCCTGGAGATTCCTCCCACACTGTGTCCACAGCCTGTCCATGAATAAGTTAAAGGCACCGCTCTCCTCCCAAGCCTCTGCTGTGACAGGTCTACAGGACTCTGGTACAAAGACACCTCCTCACAGCCACCTGGACAGACATCTTCCTCCCAACAAAGGACGGACCACCTCCCAGGCTCAGCTTACCCCAGGAAGCTTCTCAAAGGCCAGACTATGTTATTTTTCCATGTTTGTGGATATATATCACACACAACTGGTTTTGTTTTAAGACAGGGTTTCTCTATGTAGCCCTGGCTGTCCTGGAACTCCCTATAGACTAGACTGGCCTCCAAGTCAAGAGGGCCATGTGCCTCTGTCTCCCAAGAGCTGACATCAAAGGTCTGTGCCACCACGCCCAGGTGCAGCTCTTAAGGAATTGCAAGGTTTTTCTGTGGCCTGAAGTCCTTTCTCCATTGAACTCACAAACGTGTCTTTATATATTTAACAAGCTTTTAATTCCTTATTTTCATGTTCTCAATAACACAACCCTGGAGTAATACTTATCCTTGTTTTAACCCCACTAGCCCATTACAACCCTGGAGGACTGGCCGTCCTGCCTCCCTCTCACTCACTGACACAGCTAACCAAGAATCAGAGAGATCCAGTGGTACTTACTCAAAAACTTCCAGAGGCACCGTGATATCATGCAGCTGCTGTCTGCACTTATCTATGTCCTGTAAGCCCGTAACAATAAAGTTCCTGGGAAAAAGGCAGAGTGGGGGATGTGGTTAGCTCAGGGCATCATAGCACACCCCAACACGGCCCAGGCCACTGTGCTTCAAGTCCTGAGGGTTAAAATGGCCAAGGTCAGGGACATCAGGCCAGATAACCGATGTGGCAGCAGGGTAAGAGACAGCCACAGGAACTGGATAAGAGAACACAAGGCCAGTCTCAGCAGGCTCTGGTCTAGGCAATGCTCCAGCCTGTTCCCATCTCACAGAGCCATCCTTGAGGGGTGATACCACAACTCTGTACCTTAATAAACAACATCTCAGCTGAGACACATCCCTGCACTCAGCCATAAGAGACTGAACTGTGGGAAAAGATTGTTTCTAGGGCAGTCTCCCAGTCTAGAAAGTGGAGTTGCCCCAACTCTGGGGAGCGGAGACAGAGAGAGCAGACTTCAGGTGCAGACACTAGAGGCAGGCGGCCTTGCCTTTCTGCTGGACTGGGCATGTCTCTGCTGGGGCTGTGCTGGCTCCCTTCTCCCAGCCTACTAGATGAACCTTGACTACCTGCTCGCTGGGCCTGTACCTTCACGTTAACTTTCTAACCCAGGAGCACCAAGGCAGCTCAGTGGCTGGGACCAGAGGGAAGTCAGGAGACTGGTGCTACCCTTAACAGGCTCCGTGCTGCTCACACCTGAACCCTTGATTGCCACAGGATTCTGGGGACACCTTTGGACTTACAAAAATACGCTCAGATACTTAATAAATTTTCCTTCTAAGCTCAGAAAGGAGGTGAAGACAGAGCAAAGCTTTCTGGAGTGCAGGTCACTGAATGGGGTTTCAGGGAAGACAGCATGGAGAAATGGACTCCAGCTTAAACGCAGTAGGCACAGTCTGCAAGGAAAAAGCCCGTCTCTACTGGGTTAAACCTCAGCTCCCTCCAGAACCATCCCGGATTACCTAGCTGTCCCAATCCCTGGAAAGTGTCCCATATATAAGCGGTGAGACCTCCTGAACATTTTGTGTTTCCCTGGAGGCCATTCCAAGGCCAGGCGACATGACTAGCACAAGATATTGTCAAGAAATCAACCCTCTGTGGCGGCCTTTTTCCACAGCCAGGCCTATGCAGCAGGTGGCTCAGGGCCCTCCCGAGGTGCACGCTTCTCTTTAAGTCAAGAGTGAAGTCAACCTCCCCAGGGCGTTGGGGTGGGGTGAAGTGTACGTGGTGCCTACCTCCCCTTACGGGATCAGGGTAGTCCCGGACTGGCCTGTAGGGTCAGAGTGGTACCAGCCTCCCCTGTGTGATCAGGATGGACCCTCCTCCCCAGTGGAGTCAGGATGGAACTGGTCTCCCCTATAGGGTCAGGATGGACCTGGAGCTACCTCCACCCTCGGGGGATCATGACTGAGCCTCCTCTCCTGTGGGGTGAGGTCAGATCTTCTTCCCCAGTGGGGTCAGGATGAAGCCTGCTTCCCCTGGTCAGGACGGAACTCGTCTCCCCTGTGAGGTCGGGTCAGGATGGACCCGGCCTCCCCTCAGGATCTGGGGATAAACGCCAAAGAGCCCCAGTGGGGTCCCCAAGGCCAGCGGGCAGGGGCTCCGCACGGAAGAGTCTAACTCCCCGACCCCCCGAGCCGTCACTCACAGCTTCTGGCTCAGCCCCGCCTGGCTGCTGGGCTGGAAGTCGCTGACGATGATGCCGAGCTGCCGGATGTTCTCCACGAACTTCTCCAGGTGCTCCTCCAGGTGGTCAAACTTCTCCGCCATCGCCGGCTTCGCCCGTCTCTTAGCCACAGCTCCCAGCGACTCGGGATCCACAGCGCTCCCCCGCTTCCGGCTTCCGGAATCCCACTTCCGTTTCCTCGAGGGCGGGGCCTCCTCGGGGGCGGGGCCTGGTCGCTGTGGGCGGGGCGAGGGGCGGGGTAAGTCTTTGAAGGGAAAACCCGCTTGGAAGCTTCTAAAGTGGAAGGAGAAATGTCAACCAGGAAAACACAGCCGGTGCGTGTGTAAAAGGGCAAAAATGAAAACTCTTAGCTGGTACCTAGCATCCTTCAATAAATAAAAATACCAAGTGTCATAGGGAAAGAAGAACGCTAGAGTGAAGGGCAGTAATTTAGACACAGTGAATCTTGTATGTTCATAATCTGGAAAGCTTAGGAGCTAGAAGCATTTTTCTTTAAAAAGATAAATATCTGGGCCCAGTGAGGTGGTTCAGTGGGTGAAGACACTTGCTGCTAAACCTGACAATCTGAGTTTGATCTCTCAGATCCTACACGGTAGGAGGAGAGAACAGGCTTCTGTAAGCTGCCCTCTGACCTCCATACTTGTGCTGTGTCACAGGTATGCCCACTCACAACGTACACAGGCACACAATACATAGTAAGTAAATGTATTTAAATTGGGAAATCAAAATAGAGCCATGTTTTTTAAAACTGGCCAGGAGGCAACAATCTCTTTCAAAAAAAAAAAGAAAAAAGGAAGGAAGAGAGGAAGGGAGGAAGGCAGGCAGGAAGGGAGGGAGGGATAGAGAGAGGGAGAAAGGAAGGGAAGGAGGGAGGGAAGGAAGGAAATACCTAAGCCCTGGTTGCTTTTCAACTCACTTTTTAAAATAGTCATTAAACATTAATAGTCTTTAACATTAAAGAACAGATGACTTCAAACTTCCGCAGACACTTTTAGGTTCTAGAAAAGGAACATTCAACAGCTCAGTTATAAGGGGCGGTGACTTTGAAAAATCAGTCTTGAGGGACAAGAAGCAAAAATATAAGTAAATCTTTCAATTTTCGTGAAAGGAGGAACAAGGAGACAAATGAGACAGAAGAATAGGGAGAATGGGGGTGCCAAAGGATGTATAAGGTGTATAAGGGTTCTCTGTGTGAGTCAGTGTTCTCTAGACTAACAGAACTTACAGAATGGAGATATATACATATATATAATATTATATATTATATATTATATATTATATATTATATATTATATATTATATATTATATATTATATATTAATTATATATTATATATTATATATACATAGTGAATTTATTAGAGTGACTTACAGGCTGCTGTCTGGCTACTCCATCAATGGATGATGGTGAACAGAAAGTCCAAGAATCCAGTAGTTGCTCAGTCCACTCCATGACGCTGGATGTCTCAGCTGGTCTTCAGTATACACTGGAGTCCCAAAGAAGTAGACTGTAATGCCAGTGAAGGAATGTATGTGCTAGCAAGGGGAGGACAAGCAGGCGAAAAACAAAAGCTTCCTGCTTCCATATCCTTATATGGGATTCTGGCAGGAGGTGTGGCCCAGATTAAAGTTGCATCTCCCTGCCTCAATATCCAGATCAAAGGGGTGTGTCTTCTTAAAGGTCCGGAGCAGAAATGAATCCGCCCACTTCAAACCAAGTAAAAACTCCCTTAACAGACACACCCTCCATTTCTGGATTCCAGTTAACTCTATATGTAGTCAAGTTGACCACCGAGAATAGCCATTTCAGTTCTCTAAACACGCAGAACTGACGTGTTGAAGGCATATATATTTAGTTTTATGTATGTGGTGTTAGAGTGGCTGACAGGGTGTGGTATGGGTAAGACAACAATGACTGACTCCCGGTGGAAAGGCTGAGAATCCAGTTGTTCAGTCTACAGGGCTGCATGTTTCTGCACCCAATCTGTTACTGGATTCCTGGGAGATTCCTGGAGAGCTACCAGGATTTGGTCTTTGTTAGGATCCTGAGGTCATTGGATTTAGTACAGTTTCCAGCAACAGGAGAGATGAACTTGAAAGAGAGAGTGAGGGCAAGCAGGCAAAATTTCTGTCTTCCATGTCTTACGAGCTGTTACTAGTAGGTGTGGCCCAGATTTAGCGTGCTTTCAATAATCTGATTAATATCTCTGAGTATGGTAACCTACACTTGTGGTCCCAGTGTTTGGGAAGCAGAGGCAGTCAGATCTCTGTGAGTTTGAGGCCAAGCAAGCCCATCTACATAGAGTTTCCGAACAGACAATGAAACCCTATCTCAAAAAGGAAAGGAAGGGGGAAAAAAAGAGATAATCCCTCAGTGGGGTGACCAGCATCTCAGGTTTCAGTTTACTCCAAAGACAGTCAAACTGACAACCACGATTAACCATCTCAAGTTCAGCCCTTGTCAACTTCACACATACTCAGAACTCCTTATGTCATACTTAACTTACAAAGGAGAACAATAACAAGGTCATAATTCCACCTGACGTGATGTAACTATCCCATGCACAGCTGAAAACATGAATGTTTTATAACATGGCCTAATGTCCCTCGAAGAATGATTATTCTTAGTGTCTCATAACTTAAATGTGACAATATACATTTACAGCATTTGACTACTGATATCTCTATCAATGTGATACTACATCACATGACAATGAAATAGAGGGAAAATGCAAATATTGACTTAATATAGGTATCTGTATGCACAAACATGTTCTTAACAAAATAGGTCAAAAAACACTCATGTTAATTACTATCCTTTTTTCTGCAACTGCTTCTGTGCCCTTAGCTGGCATTTATAACTGCCTTCCTCTTCTCCCATTGTGTATTTCCTCCACTCTCAGTAAGCATCTCAGCAGGTCTTGATTCTGGCACTTGGGGAGTGACCCATACGTTCATCTCTGAGAGGTCTGGGCGATTGTCATCCTGCCTGGAGGGCTTTGCTATAGTTTCCCACTGAGTTTAAGCATCTGACATGGTAACACCAAGAGAAGTGATGAAGGGTCTCCTGCTCCCCAGACATGAGCTTCCCTCCACTGTGGAGAAACAATCTAGTTCCTCCTTGGTAACCTGGATAAATCACCCCTCCTAACACTTTTACTCCTTTCTTACCCTGTGGGCTTAAGGGCATTGTAATGGCTATTCCTGGTTGTAATTTGACTGCATCTGGAATGAACTATAATCCAGAAATGGAGGGCACACCTGCGATCCAGATCCTGAGGCATAGTGGCCATGAAAAGATTAGACCAGGCGAGTAGTACACGCCTTTAATCACAAGAGACTGAGGCAAGCAGATCTCTGATTTCTAGGCCAGCCTGGGAAAGAGCAAGTTCCAAATCCAGGCATGGTGGTACACACCCTTAATCTGGGCCACGCCTTTGCTGGAGGCCTAGATAATGGCATTGGAAGAAGGAAGACTCTCTCTTCTTCACCTGCTTGCACTTACTTGCCAGCACATCTGTTGGAATCTACTTCTTCAGGATTCCAGCTTATACAGAAGACCAGGTGAAACTACTAGCTTCGTGGGACTGAGCAACTACTAGAATTATGGACTTCCCATTCACAGCTACCCATTGTTTGGGTTAGTTGGATTGCTGACTGTGAGTCATTACAATAGATTCCTCTAAGATACAGGGGCATTCCATAAGTTCTGTGGCTCTAGAGAACCCTGACTAATGCTGGCATCAGAAGCCTACAGTGGCCTGAGGGGAAATCTGAGCTCCCAGTTCAGTGGAATGTTGGTTGTGGCTCCTTGAAGGAGCACTCCCCACTGTGTATTCAAAACTTCTAGGCCAGCAGAACTTTAAGCCATGGGAAGAGGAAGCAAAATTTTTCCCAGTGGGTCCCCAGGGGTGATAGTGAGTGAAACCATCCCCATTTACACCACCTTGATTCCAGGATCTGTGAATCCTGGCCATGGGAGAAACTGTACCATATCAATAGGTGCTGATTCAAAGCATACACTGCCTTCTGGAGAACCCTACCTCAGCCCTCCGGGATGCCTAATTGGCACTGTAACTTTCTTCAAAGGGCCATTCTATCTTTCTATCAGAGGAGCTGCTTCAGAGTAATGGGGAACATGGTAAGAGGAGTGGATTCTATGGTGGTAAAGTGAATCTCTTTGTCTGTAGCAATACTGTGTGGAATACCATGATAGTGGGTTATAAAAGTCCACCTATGATAGTTTTGGCAAAAGCATCCTGCGTAGGAAAGGCAAATCTGTAACCAGAATAAGTGTCTATCCATCATATCCAAAGCATTGTCTTGTCCATGGAGAAAGTAGTCCAGTGTAGTCAATCTGCCACCAAGTTGCTGGCTGATCATCCTGGTAAATGGTGTCATATCTGGGGCTCATGGTTGGTCTCTGCTGTGGGCAGACCTGGCACTCAGCAGCAGCTGTAGCCAGATCAGCCTTGGTGAATGAAAGTTCGTGTTATTGAGCCCAAGCATAACCTCCATCATGGCCACCATGGCCACTTTGTTCATGTGCCCATTAAGCAGTGACAGAGATGGCTGGGGACAGAAGCTGACTGTTCACAGAACGGGTCATCTTATCTACTTGATTATTGAATTCCTCAGTTGAAGTCACCTTTCAATGAACATTTACATGGGACACAAGTATCTTCACATCCTTTATCCATTTGGAGAGATCTATCCATATATTTCTTCCCCCAGATGTCTTTCTCATCTATTTTTCAATCATGCTCTTTCCTTGTGCCAGGCTATCCAGGCAACAGTCTACATATAGACTGTATTCATTGTCTATAGCCTATGAATCAGTAAAGGACTGAACATCTGGCCATCTCTCCTTCCAGACAAAATGTCAGACCACGTGTGCTCCCCAAGGTTCTACTCACTGTGAAGATTTGCATTCACTCATGTCTTTCAAGGTTGTCCCAGAAAGAGACAGTTTTGAAGACTGTACAACCAACTTTAAGACTTGGTGAATCAGATAATATCCAGGTCATGATGGGCAATTCAGATCACATGGTAAATTTATGGGATTTTGTCAAATGTTCAGTTTCCAGTAAAACCAAGCAGCCTGAGTGCTGTCTCTCAAAGGAAGAACAATTGTCTGTAGATGATTGTAGAG